ATAATTTTATCATGCTTATACATCAAGTTATGAGAATTTAAAGTCATAGTGAACATAAAATTCATCTTACATGTTCATCTTCAAAAATTCATAACTTAAGCTATACTTTCTCAAATCACTTAATTCTTGTTCTCATGTACTCATCTTTTACATAAGAATTAATCATCTAATTCATACTTTTCCAGCTTATTCATATCTTTAGGAAAATCTCATGCAAATCAACATCTTATCACATCAAGTACATATATCATATAATTGATCTTTAACAACTTTAACTCTTTATATTCATAGAATCAATTATAAACTTAACTTCTACATCATGATATACATACTTATAAACATGTAAACTCATTATCAAAACATGAACTTAAGCATGTAACTTTAAGATAAGTAAATTACCTCCTTCTTGCTAGAGTAAAAACTTGATTCTTTACTTCAAATTCTTCACTTCTCCAAAGTTTCTACTACTTATTCTCACTTTCACTCTTATATAACTTTTGGTACTTTTATTTGGTGTACAAACTCTGAGTTTTAGGCCTCTATTTATAGGCACAAATTGGCAATACATCATAATGGAGTGAATAAATGATCATAATAATTAATTTAAACTTATAAACTTATTTAATCATAAACTATTTTATGCTTAACTTATCTACACATCAAAAACTTAAATAATCATCAAAAATAGCCTTTGGTAGAGATCACAATCGGACTCTCAATGATCATACAAAACTGTCGGCAACACGACTCGTGTGGCATGTCACACGACTCGTGTGACCTCACACGAGTCGTGTGGCTAGTCACACGACTCGTGTGACACCACACGACTCGTGTGGCTATGTCACACGACTCGTGTGAAAAAGCCGAAGCTAACTTTCATCACCTTAACCTCCCACACGACTCGTGTGACCTCTCACACGACTCGTGTGGCTTCACACGACTCGTTTGTTACTTCACACAACTCGTGTGGCTAGTTCCTTGATCAACTCTTAATTTCGAACCAATAACTGCATATCTTGGTCTCGAAATTACCTAAATCTTGGAACTAAAACTGTTACTTTCTTAATAACTGAGAGGGATATTACAGATCAAATGTACAAGTTGGTTAGGGGAATGGGATTAAAATCCGCAACATAAGAATAGTCTTAGCGGTAACCCAACCTTGAGAATCGGAGATCCCGAAATTTTGGTTTAATGGGAAAACTAAGTTTTGATAGTTCAGTGAAACACTTGAAAACTTCACTCATTCCCAAGAACCGTCAAGTGTTAAAATCTGCCTAAGTGGTGAGGTTAAGTCGAGGACTTTTAATGATTCCTATACCTATGGGTGGAGTAAGGCAGGATACCCTTTATAGGAGAATCACCTTTGTAAGTGAGAAGCAAATAGGCCGCTTCAACGAACACTTACTACACCGAGATATGGTCCAAGGCCGAAATGGACACAACGTAAGAACAAGAAATTGTTAGAGCTGTTGTTGTGTGAGTACTATTGTCTTGGTGCACACAAACAGCCGGTAAGTTCAAAGCATCGCGCTACTAACCGGCTAGTGTATCCGATAGTATTTCACTAAGGAAGATTCAAAACCACAAGCTATCTATCCTGATGCAATGATGGTTCGCCAGAACTCTCAAGTGTTGCATACATGCATTAATTTCATTCATGTGGGGGATTGTAAGAAAAATTAATTTTGTACCGATTTAACGATTCTATTTTTCGTAAGTAGAAGACTTAGGAAATTCTCAAAACCTTTTTAAGGTGAATGAGAAATTAATTCTAAGTGTTATATGTTAATTAATTGAGTTTAAATAACTCAAAGATTGTAGGGTTCACAAACATTCTGTTTTGACAAATGTTTGGACAAGCTAAACGAGCCATAATTATGCATTATATATGCTAGTATTGTAGAAGGGCTCGTAGGAAACAAGTAGGAAAAAACAGAACTCGATTCCAAGTCCGTATGAGCTTGTGCGAGCCCGTGGTGCACGGGCGCGCAACTGGCTGCGGAAATCAAAGGGTTGTAACCCTTGGTGACCATAAGGTATCTTTTGGCCACTAGATGCATCCGTTCTCGTACGGGCATGTCCCAAAAGGTGTCTTTTGACACTTAAACCTCTTGGAGGTGTTTCCTTACATCTATAAATACCCACAAACATGAAATCATTTAGTACATGAAATTTTCCAAGAGTCTTTGCATCTTTTTTACAAAGTTCATATTCATCTTGTGTTCTTTGTGTTCTTTCTTATCTTGAGAGTTCCGAAACTTGAGTATTGTTCGTCAAAGGTTTGTGTATTTGAGTTACCGCTATACAAAAATCGAAGTCATTGTATCTTGGAGGCGTTAGCCGTGAACCGTGGGTAATATACGGGGCTATTTCGTCTTAAGAAGAGCGTACCTTACGTGCCTCGACTTTGTTCGTTTCGTCATTTTCCTTCTGATTTCTTAAGACATTTTTGATATTCACATACCACACTCATAACAGTATCCACTTGTCCTCCCTTCTTCATTTTTATTTTCAAATTCTGATATTGCCGTATTAATCTTTAATTTGATTTTGTTGGGTTACAATTTTAGCGATTGCGGTGTTTATGTTGCATCGTTTGTCGAGTATTTCATCATGGATACTCCCATTCCAACCAACTACGATGTCGATTTAGAGAGGTTGAGTTACTCATAATTGTCGCACCAACATGGTAGAATGAAGCAAGAGAAGGCATGTGAGAGTGACGATGATTCGCCTGGGTCGCTTCCTGATTTGGAGCACGCCAATTTGTTGGCAATTACTACATGAAGTTAAACTTGTCAAAGTCATCGTTTTTTTTTTTTTTTTTTTTGTATGTTTATTGAACCGACTTTGAAGTATGGGTACTGAGATATGATTATCTTATTTGATTTACTTTGTTTTGATGTTTTTAGTATAGTTTTGATTGTGCACGGTAAGTATGATTGAATATTCATGTTTTGATTTGGATTTCTAATGACGATGATATTATAATTTTTTTTAATGCACGACAGTGATTTTTTTGTTCATCTAAAGTTTATGTTTGGTATATAAAACACGAAGAAGTGTAGTAAACATATACACATATTATACTTTAGTTATACATAATATATATTGTTGGTTTTGTCAAGTGTACAAACTTTTGGATAATTGTTGTCAACATAGATCATAGTTAAAAGCCTAGCAAGACCAATATTTCTAATGAAGGTGATATTATATTTTTAATGCTTGTGGTATTCAGTGATTTTGTTGTTTATTTAAAGTTTGATGTTCGGTATATAAAACAAGAATGGGTGTAGTAAACATATACACAAAAATATACTTTAGTTATCCAAAATCTGTAGTGATTAGCTATATAAATAGACTTTAGTTTTAACATATTCTGAACTGGTTTTTATAAACTACAACAAATATATCAAAATTTGTTAAAAGAAAAAGAGGTTCGGTTCAAGTATACGCAACATATACCTACATTGCTAATTAATATTGTTGACCCCCCGAGTTAAAAAAATGGGCCCACAAAAGAGAATAAGACAGCCTACGTCCAATAAGCCGAGCTGGATTCACAGACCGACCATCAGACAGAAAAGAGTTGGGTCAAAAGAGGCAATGAGGTTGAATCCAAGATAGAGACTTCAATCCGAGCTGGGCTAACAAGTCGAGTAGAATGCAATAAAATAACACTTGTAGCTTAATGATGAAGAAGTACATCTTCGTCCGCTAATCTGCGGGCCTACCAATCTCAGAGTAGCACGATGCATTAAATGCCCCTGTCCAATCATTTAAATACGAATCGTACAGACTCGAAGAACAGCCCCCGAGCTACAGTTACTAAAAAATACCCTTGTATTAGATTAAAAAAAGGGGACTAAAAAAATATACAAACTCACGAGATAAAGATTCTCGTATCATATACTAAGTTTGATATTCGACCGAGCAATAAAAATATTGGCTGACCTAGGCCACTATTATTCCGTCACATTCGTGCATTGTTCTGCACTTCTATTTTTATTCGGTTCTTTCGACAAAAAATATTCATATATGTCTTAACCAAGCATCCTTAAATTCGGTTCAAAACACTTTTAAGTTTTAACTCGTTGATCAAATTCGTTCATCAACAGTTTGCCGCTAGAAGGAGGGCTCCATAAGTTATTTGGAATCAATCTTCACTTTGTGAACACCACTACAAGACTCTTTTTTTCTTTTTCCCAAAAATGGCCGGAATACGATTCTATTTGGCAAAGACCCCTAAGACTCCGGCACGAAGCATATTCAAGACTCCGGAGAAGGTATAGCAGAAGCAGCAAGACCCCTAAAGACTCTAACGCAAAGCATATTTAGGATGCCGAAGAAAACCAAAGATGCGATGGTAGCAACGAAGACCCTGAAGACTCTGACGCGAAGCATATTCAAGATGCCGGAGAAATCCATAGGTGCAACGGTAGCAGCAAAGACCCTGACGTCTCCGACGTGAAACATATTAAAGACGCCAAAGAAAGTCCAAATACGCAGCAAAAATAGCGAAGACCATGAAGACTCCGACACCGAATGCATTCGAGGTGCTGAAGGAAAAGGACACACGCACCGCTAAGAACCCAAGAGAAACGCCGGCCCCAATGGAAGCAATAGCCCAAGTACCAGACAACACGATGAAAATGCGATAGGCGGTGATTTATCGAGCCTGGACGAGAGAAGCCGGAGAGAGTAGGTCAGCCACATGCATTCGGGCAAGGAAGACCGCTCCTCATCCGGTCCTTTCTCGTCTTGGGTGCAGAAAGATCGAAACGATAGGGTCGAAAAGCGCGACCTTGGGGAGGTCGTGAAGCTAAGGAGGAAAAATCGCCGAACTCGAAGTCTCGATAGAAGTGGGTTCGCACATTCTCGTTACCGTTTGAACTCCTGCTTCGCCCCCTACCGAAGAATGTAACGATACCTCAGACTGAGCAATGTGATGGCAAAACAGATCCAGACACCTTAGCCCCATTCGAAATTGATAGTAGTTGAGGGGCCAGAAGAGAGCCCGAAAAGAAACATCGCTCGTATTGACGAAAGAATCCAAGATATGGACTCTTATCAATAAGCGGCAAACAACTAACAAGGAATGCATGTCCACCCCAAATATCAAAGTGCCGGGGGACTTGAGCTCAAAAATGAAAAAAATTACGACCGACCTGAGGTCTGACGAGGGAGTTCCCCGGGCCAACATAAGAGAAGTGGGAAAGAGACCGACCGACTATCCAAATCGTAGTTATTGCAAAGACGCGCAATCTTGAGTGAAGGAAGCTAAAATCCCATGCAAACAATTAACCTTTACCACCCGGTTCCCTCCAGGCTAAGAGTAAACATCAAAGGAGGTCGGTCCCCAAGCATTTTAAAAGTACCAGAAAGTGTAAAGGCCGCAATGCTAAAAATCTAAAAGGCCTATAAGCTGCAAAGTTGTAATGCCGTAAAATTAAAAGGCCTATGAGCCGCAGGGTCGAAATACTGTTATAACTAAGCACTAAGGTGCAAAGACCGAGTACGAAAATTACTCGGTTAGGCTAAAAATGTCATTCCGGGCCGAAATGCCATTATAAAAACTAAGATGACAAGACCCGGTACAAAGATTGCTCGACTAGGCTAAAAATGTCATCAGGCTAAAAATGCCGTCAGGACGAAAACGCCACCAAACAAAACGACCTCAAAATGCATTCCAAATCACGAAGTCTAAAAATAGCGTAATAATGCGTATGTTGATGGCTGCTTCAATTTTCGAGCTGACCAAGAACAAAACTCACGACACTCAACTAAAAAAAAAATCGCTCGTCACTACATAAAACTCATGTTTGCTGCTCAAATCTGCTTAAGAAAATAATGTGTGTGCCCTGTATATCTGCTACCCGCAAATACGCACACTTCTCTTCTTTATTTGCTCTCTTTTCAGTCAAATACTTTCCGTTAGATATTTTTTTTTCTAATTGTCCTATCGGAAATATACTAGATATGTTGTTGTTGTTGTTGTCAAGATTCCTTTCTATCGTTGGGGAAATGGAGTTGGGGCATGCCATTTCCTCCTGGGTGGATTAGTCCCACCCCTTTGGGTGTGGATCCTGAGCCCGAGCGAGCCTGTAGCTGTGGTTAGCCGGCCACCGGTTGGTGAGGTCCTCTGGGCGTAGGGACATAGGGTCGGGTGAGGCCCCGAAGTGAATGTGAGGATACCATCCAGACAGGAAAAATATTAGAGTTCATTTGCATGGCAAACATATTTACATGACAACATATAATAAAAATATATTTTAAAATTATTTCCAAATAATTTAAAAGGAGTTATTTCCCAGTTGATCTAAATTAAATCATAGTTATAATTTATTAAATATCCAATATTTTTTGGATGATTGGACATAAAGAAAAGAATTATTATCTTGTCGGATAACTTTTATTTTCAAAAAAAAAATTAAATTACATCGAATACAATTATTTTCTCAAACAATTCACTACTCATCTAATGCAAATTTTTTCTCCTCAATATTACAAATATATTTAAATTTTAAAAATTATTATTACACACATTTTCCAGCAAAATTTACTATCAATCCACCCATATATTTTTAACTATTAATTGTCATTTTACTAATTATATATTATATGAACTTTAATCATAATATTTTATCTCTCAGCTATTCACAAACTCAAAATTACTTCATTGTTTCGGTCAATCCATTTTTCATAATATAACTCACTTTATTGAGAAAATTATAAATTTGGTCCCAAAACTTTTGTTGTTTCCCACATTTGGTCTCAGGCACGCCAATTATGGTCCTTTTTGAATTTTCATTGCCAAAATGGTCCCACTCCGTCAAGACTTAACAGTCAACATTTATAGCCTGTGACCAAATGTGGGAAACAGCAAAAGTTCTGGACCAAATTTGCAATTTTCTCAAAGAGTAAGTAATAAAAATTATTTAAATTTATTTTTATTAGAAACTTTTTTTTTAAAAAAGTTTTAGTAAATGTTAAAAAGGTATGTTACCATTCTTTTCTAACAATACATTTAGTTTATTTTTTAATAAATTATAAAAGATAAATATAACTAACATACAATTCTTTCACATTTTCTATTGTAAATTAAAGTTTAACTTGATCTTTTTACATAAAATGATTATTTAATTGGGTAACTTAACAAAAGGTGTATAAATTAATTTTATTAATTAGTTCATGATAAATGAGATGCAAAAAAAAAATATAGGATATATTTTACTATAAATAAGTGAGAGCAAATGTTTATTTTCACTTAAATTAATGCCAAAATTTGTTTTATTATGCTTAAAATTGAAATTTTTTATGTAGATGTAATTTTCATAAATAAATAGATTTTTCAATTTATAGTTGTCAAGATTAAATTAATAAATAAAAAATATTAAAATAAAAATAGACAGTAATAAAAAAATAGTTTAAGTTGGATTTTTTTAATTCGTATTATTTTATAAAGTTTGTAAGTATATATATAAATTATCACATTATATTAATATTTAAAAGTGTAGACGGATTAGTATTATTGTAAGCATATTCACATTTTTTCTTATTTTGATAAATTTGATTATATCTTTTGGTTAAAATAATATTATTTCGAATTATTCTTTAATTTAAATTATATTAAAATAATTGTCAATATTTTTTAAGTAATGATGATAAAAATATTAGAAAATAAAATAAATACCACTCAATTAGCAATTATGTCGTTTACTTTTCCACTCAAAATTAAAATTTATCAACGCCCTTACTTTTCCAATCGATATTTATTTTTATAAAATTATTTTTAATATTTATTTCTCGCATCATATTCATAGTAAATTAATTTTATTATGTCATTTCGGCTTTGAGTGAATGAGAGAGACTTGAAGAACTTGAAGAACTTATTTTTTTTAAAAAAAAAAAAAATGCAAAATTGGTCCAATCTAACGTCCTCACATGAGCCCCGTCAATCGGACGTGAGACCATTTTGGCAACGAAAATTAAAAAAGAACCATAATTAACATGTCTGGGACTAAATGTAGAAAACAGCAAAAATTTTGGGACCAAATTTACAATTTTTTCCACTTTGTTCAATCATTCAAATTTTTATAAAATAATTTATATCCAATCATACGGGTAATGATCACGTGAAATGAACGTGTGATGAATTAGAGTAGTAAGCCTTATGACAACAAACAATGATGTCATTTAATTTTGCCAAAAAAAATTATAGTACATCGAACTCGAGTTTGATGTATGACGTTACATCCTCTGTTATACCGGAAGCCACATATCTTCTAAAATTTAAGGAATCTTCTTTGGTAAATAGTACTCATGCAAAAGCTTCAATTTCTACCTTGGTCTTACTGACACTTGTCTCTTTGACGAAAAGGACTTTGACAACTATTTTTCAAAATTTAAAGACACTACAATACAACAAGTCTTATATATTATCAAACAACCACATTTATGTCAATTCACATTTTGTATTCAATGTTGGTTATGTGTGGGCCACTCAATGCAAAGAAGTATTTTCCATAATGCAAGCAAGGAAGTTAAAATTAAATGTTGGACGAACCCATTAGTAATGAATGAGTTTACATAATTAATATATATATATATTTTTTTTTTCATTTTATGCTTGTGAAACTTATTTTTGTTACATTTACATGGATTTTGAATCCTATTCGAAGCCAAAAAGATTCTCATAATTTTGCAAAAATTTGACTAGCATATATCAATGGCATAAATGTTACGTGGACCCTCATTATTTGGCATCATCTCGAGCGACCAATTACGAAGCACATGACTTTCCATGATAAGTCACGTGCGACCATTTACGAGGCACGTGACTTTCCACCCAATTTTGTAGACTTATATATTTTATCGAAATATGTTCTTACTATGTGAAACGGATGTCATTTACTATATCACAACGCTAACTTTATTTTCCTTAAAGTACGCCTTTATGTAATCTAATAATCCTTTTTCACACTAAGTTTTGGCATTTTCCAAATATATATATATATATATATATATATATATATATATATATATATATATTCAAGAAAAAAAATCTAAAAGAAAAGAAGTTCCTCTACACCAGTTCACCATTTGTAATATGATGTATCTATAGTCCAACCAAATTAAATATCCACAAGGATCATCCTGGATTTAATAATAAAAGATGTAATACCTCACCAATTGACTTTTGTTTTCACTTTTGAGAAAGACCATATACATTGGTCTTAATGTCATCCCCTCCTTATAAATATGCATTGGTTAGAAACAAACATACACATAAAAACACACATAGAAAGAAAAAAAGAAAAAAAAATGGAATGGCCAGATTTTCACTATTCTCCTTTAGAAGAAACTTTGCATGGAATTTTTCCAAACCAGTTTGAAATGAATCAACCAATGGGATGGACATATGAAGAAAACAAGTTGTTTGAGGTTGCTTTAGCCGAAATCGAGCCCGGTTCTCCAGCTTTCTTCGAGAATGTCGCATCAAAAATTCCTTGGAAGAGTATTGAAGATATCAAGAAGCACTATGAAGCATTGATTGAAGATCTGAAAATGATTGAAACTGGAGAGGTTCCAATTCCTGACTACAAACAAGCTGATCAACAGCAAGACGAGGGCAACAAAGAGGGAGGAGATTCTCCATCAAATGAACCTAAATCAATAAGAAACGGCCAACAAAGGCGAAGGGGTGTTCCATGGACTGAAGAAGAACATCAGTACATCTCTCTATACTTCTTCATAAATTAATATTTCTAGCATATGATTATATACATTGATGATACCAATCCATTTCACCTATTTTTTTTTTTCTTTTTGAAAAACATAACAATATGATCTCTGATCAATTTGAGAAGCTGATTCAAACTTTTAGAAATTCTACCTAGCTCTACTCAATTTAAACATGTACTTGAAACCTTATTTTTTTTTTTATAGATGAAATTATTAAAATGATTTATCTTGCTTAATTGCTAATTGTTGAAATTAATAAACCAATCATACTAAGTATTCCTAATGGCTATTTTGTGTCTTATGAGATTGTAGCGAACAAATATATAGTTATGTCGTTAAGTATTTACTTAAGCAAGATTCTATTCATACATAAATTACACATATACAATAATGAAATTACACATACGTTACGTGCTAAATCATTATTATTATTATTATTATTTTTCAATGCTTTTGCACTTTTTTGAAGTCATCTATAGCATTTACTTGGTTTGGATTTTGTGTGTCACCATCCTATGCATGCAAT